TTTCCTTGCGTGAAAATGCAGGCTGAAAAGAAGTAAACAGCTGAGCTAAAAGATGGAAGGTAAAATTCAGCTTAGAATTATTTTTATTTTAGTTGCCATCAAAATGCTAGTTACTGTGCTTATGCCGCATTCTTTCCTTACTATTTATAAAGCCCTTAGAGTGTTTACAGTCATTAAATAGTGTGTCTTTTGTGGTTTTGAACCTTGTATGTGTTCAAAAATAACATGATCTTATATCTATGTTGAATTTAACTGTAGGTACATTTTTAAGTCTGTAATATTACAGAATCTTTTCCACTTACTGTCAGTGATCTTTTAAAAAGGCTAATATTTGTGCCTTATTTAAACAGAATTACCAATTACCAAATAGATAAGAGTCCAAACTGATATTTCTGGTTCAACACTGTTGTTTTCTGTCCTTGTGATAATATAAAACTGTTTATTGGCCACATATACAGTATTTTTATTACCACATTGGGTTCTATACTAAGATAAATTGTCCAGGTCCAGTACTTTTTACAAGTTTTATACTTGTATGCTTTTAATTTGTGGAAATCCTTCTAATGTCTTTGAAAATCATCAACATTCATCACCAGCTACTGGTGAGAATTGAATTCTGCTTAGTCAGAGCTCCTGTGGTCTTCTTCAGAAGCATCTCTTTTCCTCAGGATCTTCCCATTTCTCCTGTTTAAGGGAGATATCAGGTTATTTGATTAAGCTTTGTAATCTGTTACTTACACTTAGGAATAAATTTCTGACGTAGACAGTCAAACTAGGACTTGAATTTAATATTTTCGAGTTCGTTTTGCATAGACATCTGCCTGAAATTACTCATTTGGTTTGGGAGAAAAAAAGTAAGGGCAGTAGAAAGAGAAAGGGATTCCTGGGTTGTTCCACTGGGGTAGTGAAGCACTGGGAGGCCTCAGGAGGGATGATAACTTTGAGGAAATTCAGATTTCAGGATATTGTTTAATGTTCTAGCTCAGTTGTGATTCCAACCCAGCCACGTAGGCAAAAGTGATATTGCCTATGGAATTAATCCCCTGTGGGATTTGCAGAATGGATAATATGTTGTCCCAGTCAAAGCCTTCCCACCCTATGTATAGAGATGCAAAATGTGAGAAGCAGTGCAGATATTCAGGGAAGGACAGTACTGCAGATGCAAAGGTGAGCCCTACCCACCCTCTAAGCATGCAGAGGGCAGTCTGTATAGAGTAGGCAGTGGTTTGCTCTTCCATCCCACATGTTTGGGTGTTGTGTAGCTCCAGAAAATAACTTGTTCTGAAGGAAGAATGTAGTTGTAGAAGTTGTCATAGAACTTGTTGACTGAACCCTTCATTGTCATTTAGCATTTCAGTGATATTGCTGCTGCTTGGGTGAGATCATCAGAAATCCTCAGCACTGGCTGAAGTCCCCTCTCAGGCATTGTAAAACAGACTTCAGCTGGAGTTTTAGACACATGCTGGGTGCTTTTGAAAATCCCACCCAATCTATTAGAGGAGTGTTTTAGATCTCAAAAATCTGTTTTAGATGTCTTTTCAGGTTTTAGAATGAGCTAGTTACAACCTTGTGTTCTTGTAAACAATGTAAAGTCTAGGCAAAAGAACAATTAAGCCAGGTTTTTAAAACAGCTTCTATTTCTCCACCTACAATCAATCACATTCAGTCCTGTAGAACAATCTTTCATTGGTGCAGCTGTCTAATGGAATTGCAAGGAGCATCAAAAATTTTTTCTCTATGCATGTAATTAATTGAAGAAGGATTTCATGCAATAATCAAAGTGCCAGCATGAGGCCCTTTTGCAAATGCACCCCCTGTGTAATGCTGACCGTAGTACCCTGTCCTGCAGAAAGGAGCCCTGTAACCGCTGACATCCCTGAATCCGCAGGACGAGGTCAAGGGTGGTCTGCATTTCCAAGGGAGTTAGCATCTTCTCTCTTGGTGTCAGGCTCTAGTCGAGGTGCTGTGAGGCTCCAGCCAGCATGTTCCCAGCAGCCTGAAATTTCAGGCTAATCAAATGTGGCTAATAAAATTATGTCTGAGGCAAGCAGCTTCCTTATTGCAAAGCTCAGGATGGTGAAGGCTGTCTGTTCCCACCATATCGCGGTAAATCTTTGGAGAATGAATGTAGAAATAAATGCACCAGCAAAAACAGTATGAATGGTTATGTGACTT